AGTGAGATTGTGATTTCTGATTCGTGATTCAGAAAACAGAAATGCGATTTCTGATTCGGGAAACGGAAATCCAAAATCCTACATTCTCTCCTTCAAACTTGTATTTTCGCCTATGCAATATACCTAGGCAGTGCCGAAAAGTAAGTTTTCTGATTTCTGAAACAGGAATCTAAAATAACACTTGTACAATTCCTGATTTCTGATTCCAATAATCAGGTTGGCCGCAAAGCATCCTGATTCTTTTCCCATTAGCCTTATTTTTCTTCTTACTTTTCGTTTTCTATATCCCTATTTTAATATGTAACGGCAGGCTGATGGAAGTTTCTAAATAAAATAAAATAAAAAATCAATATTCATCCATCATCATCTGTTGCTGTTGTGGGTCAACTATATAGCGCCAACACCACTTTTGTCCAGTGTCATCTGCCTGGACAGATCGAATTGCCTCATCAAGCTGAGTGGATGTACCTTCAAGGTCTCGGGACACACAGTCCTTCCATCTCATCCTTTGGCAACCCCTTCTTCTATTGCCCAAGGGGTTCCACTGCAGTAGATGTGATGGAATCCTAGCTGATGACATTCTGGCCACATGGCCAAACCATGTTAGATGTTTTCTGTGCAGGATACTAACAAGGTTGGGTTGCAGTCCAGTACGATGATATAGCTCTTCACTGGACACCCCATCCATCCAGCTGATTCCTAGAATTCTGCACAAACATCTGTTATAGAAGGATGCATATTGCATGTACATGTATTCTTCGATTGCATGTTACATCATCATGACCATGTTGGTGCCATTTGACAAAATATTTCTCATCCATTGTTAACTGCACCAAGATGGCTACCATGTTTTTGTCTTTTCACTCTCTTGAGAATGCTTGCAACCCATGTTTAAAGACCACTAACATCATTCTTTTTACTAGATTATTAAATTTGATGATGATGATAATTGGTATACTGCTGAACTGAATGGCAAACCTGGTCTTGTGCCAGCAAATTACATTGAATTGAAGCCTTATAAGTAAGTGGATTTTGGAAATCCAAGTTTGTATTATTATATACATATCCTTTTATCTTTTTATTGTACACTCCTTGGTAACTGAATATTATGATGCTAAATAATTGTCAAAGTCTACCCTCAGGCCCATCGCTAAGGGTACCTTTGTAGGAGTGCAATATAATGTTTAGCATTATTTTTGTTTTTTTAAGAAATGGCATAACTAAGATTAGTAGAAAAACAAACCTCCCCTTTTAAGATCCTAGCAATCTGCCTGACCCCTGACCAAAATGAGTCTGTTATCAAATTAAGATATATATATATATATATTATTATTATTGTTATGTAGCAGTATTGCAATAATTTGAAAAATGGTCAGTTGCTCAAGTGTTTGAGATCTTTAGATCACATCTTCAAGTTCTTTCGATATACACCTACTTGCAAGAAGGTTGTCATACAAGAATAGAATATTTGTAATTCCGTGAGAAAGGAATTCAATAAAAGACAAAAGAAAAAGTTCAGCTTCTCAGTGATTTTCGTTCTATTTTTGTATGACAACCTTCTTACAAGTAGGTGTATTCATTAGAATTTTTTTTTACATTTAAACTTGCACATTTGGTTCCAATTTGTTACGTCATAATAGATTGTCAAGAACATAGTCATTTGTTTTTCTCTTTATCTTGGCCAAGTTTCAAAAGTTTAATCTTGAAATTAAAAAAAATTATTTGAACCATAGCAATTTAGGAGACTTTTTGCCCTTTAGATAACTATGATAATTAATGGAAGATTTTTTGGGTGCTTCATATAGTTGGTATCATGGAAAAATATCAAGAAAAAATGCTGAACATTTACTGATGAAACAAAAATTTGATGGAGCATTTTTGATAAGAGAAAGTGAAAGCACACCAGGTTAGTAAACTTTATCAAGGGGAAGGAGGGGGAGGGGGAGGGGGGAGTGGAAAGTGGGGACCTTGAATGGGCATTTAAGCTCCAAACATGCATCCCCATACATTTTCTCTTATTTTGCATTGGATCCAATCCCATTAGAAACAGAAGGCCAAAATAAGAGAAAATGTATAGGGATGTTTTGTATTAAATTAGCTATATCTCAGCTGGTTTTGCTATGAAAATTATCCACACTGAATTTTAATTTTACATGCAGTTTTTTTTTTTTGGATATAGTACCTTAGTATTTTGTTATGATTTTTTGGCAATTTTTTCTTTCAGGAGATTTTTCGCTTTCAGTAAAGTAAGTAGTATAATTTAATTCAATGATTGAAATTATAATTATCCTTTTTGTTGTAGTCGTTGTTGTCGTTAGAACATAGAAACTCAGGGGTGGGGGAGGACAAGAAAACTGTCTGCAGGCTTAAGTTATAGTGGGGAATGAAATGATATGTTTTGCATTCTTTATGTTCTAATTCAACATATTGAACAGCAAAGGTGAAAATGTCTAAATACTATGTATTTTTTGATTTAGATTCCAAGGTAATGTTCAGCACTTCAAAGTCCTAAGAGATGGAGCTGGCAAGTACTTTTTGTGGGTTGTCAAGTTTAATTCTCTTAATGAACTGGTGGATTATCATCGTACATCATCTGTCAGTAGATCACAGACAATTTACCTTAAAGATATGGCAGGTGACAACCCAAGTGAGGTAAAAAATCAACAAGATTTTCCTTAAAGTGTTTCCTAGTCATGCCTCAGGGGCGGCAGAACCGGGGGGCCCCCACTAATTTTGGTTCATATGAAAAATAAATGCATATATTTCATTTTTATTACTGTTATTAAGTTATTGCAGTGCCCCCCCAAAGATTTTTTGCAGTGCCCCCCCCAAAGAGTTTCAGCTTCCACCGCCCCTGTGCCTGCATGCAAAATTATATAACGTGATGGCAGCCATGATAGGAGGCAGGAACAATAATATCATTAAATCTGATATAATCTCATTTACGTGATAAAGAACTCAGTTTACCAGGGAAAAAAGACTATTGTAGTGCCTCCTACCATGGCTTATTGTATTTTATAAAACATTTCTGGCCAAATTCTTAGAGTTAAGTTGACCCTTTTGTTCACCTTACAGCTTACTTTTTCAGCATACTTTCAAACTATTTAGTTCAATTTAAAGCACTACATGCTCATATTGGATATTATTGCTATTGATTATTAGGAAAGATACACAGCGGCATATGATTTCTCTCCTGAAGAGGAGGGTGAACTGTATTTCAAAAAAGGAGACATAATAGTTGTAATAGATAAAGAGGACGTCAACTGGTGGAAGGGAAAGAACACAAGCACTGGTAACATTGGTCTTTTCCCAGCTAATTATGTCAGAAAGTAACATTTTGTGTTCAAAATAAGGTACATTACATGACCAATGTCACTGGAGACTGACCACCCATTATTTGGTGTTTGGTTTGTCCAGATCATGAATTAAAAATAGGAGCCTTTTAAAATGTATTTGTAAAAATTCAGTAAAAATTCAGATTTATTCCTAAAAATGATATTTATACGCGCCCCTTCTCCCTCTCATTTCTGGAAATATATTTCAATGCATTGATTGTTATTTATTGTTCTCGGCAGCCCCCGCACTTGTTAATTAGTGTCTGAAATTATTTGGGTTGCAGCTAATTATAATACTAGTATGTAATAAATTAGGCATTCTTGTGGGTTTGGGGAAAAACTGGGGGTTTGGGGGAACTTTGGAAATTTTTTTTTTGCTAGGTCCCATTTTTCTCCCAAGCATGTATAGTTGAAACAGGAACCCCAAAACCCTGATTCTTTCTCAAACCCATCACAAGAATGCCTGTTCTGCAGGCTAGTAATAAATTAGGATTTGAATTGTTAATGTTAGGAAACTGCAGCAATATTGTACATAAATATTATGCTGTTAGAAGTGCTAGATGTAGGTATTAGCCATCCAGCACTTGGGAATTGTCAAGGGCAAGGCTGGAACTTGAGAATGAATAAATCATGAATGTTCTGATGTTTGAACAGGTCATGATTAAAAAAAAAACCTGGACAAGAACGACTTCACTGGGGGTAAAAAGATCCTTAAGCAAAATTTGCTTCATTGTATTTCAAAGTTTTAATTAAATATTTAGGTTCAAAAAAGAAAATTATAGAAGGGCTTTAAGTTGTGATCATATTATTTTCTCAGTTCAATCACTAATAAACTGCTAAACTAATCAAAATATACATCAATATTATGATAAAAAGCTACGGTCCCTAAAATCATCACAGTATTTTGAACAAGACCCAGAAGTTTTTTTTAATGATGACATGACGTCATATATTTAAAGTTCTCACGACAAAAAGATTTTTCAAAAAAAATCTTGGCTAAATATGGACACCCATTTTGCTATACAGGTTGATCTTGTCTCATTACCCATACAGCTATAACTGCATGATGTGACAGACCATTTAATTTCCAACTTCTTGAGAGTAAAATTATTTCCTTGCATTATATACAATAGACCTTTTGTTGTTCATTGCGGAAATTTCAGACCATGTGATGCCACTACCTTGGAGTTGATTCTTTCATGTGCAAATATTTTGACATGTTTGTCATAAAAAAACAATTTTCAATGGAATGTCATGTGATCTGAAATGGGCTTTTTGCATACAAAGGTCTATAATATGTGTGCATGTACTATATGCACAAGCATTGATGGCAAAGAAAGAAATAATACTCAAGAGAATGACACATGATCTTGTAATTTTTGATAGGTCAAACTAGAGTCCAACTATTTTAGTGTTACGTTAGCTAGTTTAGCTAATACTCAATCTGTTTTGAATATTAAGTTAAATTGTCAATTTTTCATCCCAGGTTTTAATAAACACATTAGTTGGTCTGTTCATATTTTGTGAGTGTTTTTCAACAATATTTTTTATGATACTTATTACTAAGCTAAGAGTAGGTTTTACGTTTTACTCCGCATGAAACAAAGTTGTATAATTAGTGAGTAACAGAGTCAAAGTCAGAAACATTAGGAGATCGATCATTTATGGTAGCTGCACCTAATTTGTGGAACAGGCTACCTTTGGAGGTCAGGACAGCTCCAACTGTGGCTAATTTAAAGAAATTATTGAAAACCTTTTTATTTAAGATTGCTTTCACAGATTTTTAGTTATCGTTTATATCGCTAATAATTTTATACTATAGTTTTTAATCATATTTTTTTAATTTAAGCCAAGGTCAAACGTCGAACTTCACATGAGCCAAACCTAATTACATCAAAGAAGACTGCCTTGTTATCCATTGTTTCAATTAGGTTCGGCTCATGTGAAGTTCGATGTTTGACCTGAGCCTTAGTATAGTTTTAGTTTTTTGAGATTTGCACTATACAAATTCAAAAATTTTTTATTATTATTAAGACAACAGAAGAAACAATAGAATTAGTGTCTACTATGTATTATGCTTCGCATTTTTTACAGGCCAAGTAAATTAATTACTCTAACATAATTAATCTAGCAGGAAATAAACATACACTTGCCATTTCGTCTCCCTATGGGTGCCCTCAGGCCAGCAACAGAAAGCACTAATCTATCTGAGACTGATGACTGGTTATATATTATATCTATGGGAGTAGCCCCCCAGGTCTGGGTGACAGACAGCAAGTTATGGCCATAAGGATTCTCTGGGTTCCCGAGTGCTCACATTTTTACTTTATAAGTTTTTGAAGTATAAAAGGCTGACAAGTGCATGGTCGTTAGTTCATAATAAAAGATTTAGAAGCACATCAAATGGGTTTATTAGAAGAAAAGAATAGATATTGACGTTTTTGTTTGACCTGAATTCGCACTATCCACCTTTATTTGTCAAGAATGAGCAGCCTTGGTCAGCCTTACAACATGACTGGGTAACCTTGTTTTTGTACTCGTCAGCCAATATGAGCAGTGTATTCCAATATCAAACTGGCATGAATAAATTTTTCATTTCCCATTTTTTCTTTTTCCCATTTCTTATTCACTGTCATTATTAATGCCAAGCCGTTGAAATGGAAATCACTTAAGCTACTAATTATTTTGCAAGGAAATTTTTTCACCAGGCTACGAAAATATTGCGTATTTGTACAGGAAAACATGGTCCTTGGTCCGAAAGGAAATGGAATTAAAAATTTTTCCTTGTAAAGCCAAATGACGTAAAAGTTAGATGACGTTCCTACAGTCCAGTGTCTCACGGCCACTAGCAGGGGTGGAAGTATTCGTCGTTTGACGGCGAACAAGCTGAATATTTCGAAAGGATTTATCATATTCATCTCGTCTGATCGAACTTAAAGTCGTATAAATCGTCCATTATGGAAGCTATAGCGAAGCACGACTTCACGGCGACTTCGACCGATGAGTTATCTTTCAAAAAAGGCAGTATCTTAAAGGTAGAGAGTAAACAGTGATGTTGAAGTTTTCAGTGGAAGTTTCTTGTGGTTATAACGACCCCACGATCAGCTCTAAAAGTTATGTCTTTCGTTTTCCTTATTCATTAGGTTTTATACATGGATCCCGATAATCAATGGTATAAAGCCGAACAGAATGGCAAGGATGGTTATATTCCCGCAAACTACATCGAAATGAAGCCTTGCGGGTATGTGTTCAAATTTCACCAATAAAGTTTCAATTATATTATGAACTACTAACTCGTAACTTAATATAAAATTGAATACATTTCTCCTAAGTCGTATTTAGCACCCCTATATTTGTTAATCCACGTATTGTACAGAATGTACGAGCGAAACTTAGATTAATGTATTGTCTACATGTAGGTCATAGGTAAAATAGCACGATTTCGATATTTCCCAAGTGCACAATCATGAATCGTGGACTTGAAGTTCATTAATGCAAGTTTATTATTCCTAACGCTTCCGGGGTAGGAAAAATCCCATATCTTTTTGGAATAAATCTAAAGAATCTTTTGATTGTATTGAGCATTATGCCTGGGTTAAACTAATAAAAGATTTTTTATGCTTCACTGAAAGGCAGGCTATCTAGAATCTGAGCTTCAAAACAATATTTATGRTCCTAAACTTCGTGCTCCATCTTTTTAACTTTTTGCTTGGATATTTGATAAACATTTAAAACAAGTCAGATAGAATATGTCAAAGTTGAAGCTTTTGACTGTCAGGCACTTATTCAACACTTTCATTTCCCTCGATTCTTATATTAATGATTACAATCTCATTGGAAATCCATGTCACATAATGTTCCAGCCCCAGTACACACGCTCAGGCAGAAAGATCAAACAGCCTAATAGGTTGGATTTGTAAGCACCCCTCCCCTGGTAGGGAAAAATCGTAACCCCTCATTTTCTAGTTCTGACACGTTTTGTAATGCAGTAAAATGAGGCGAAAAGTTGAGTTTAAACGCTTTTACCTTCGTCAGTGCTCAAACACACAAGCTATAATATAATATTATGTTCCTGGCTTCGGTAGACATAAGTCTTAGTAATCAATTTTGTTGTAGTATAATACTCATAACCAAATAAAAATTAAAGTGATTTCTATATGATAAAATTATTCAAGAAGGAATATTTCGATTATTCAGCGTTATTTATATATCCAGCTTATTAAATCGTTTCAAATTCGACTTTGTTGTGTTGTGGTTACTAGTCCACAGGAAGTTGTTTCTTTAGTTCAATTTTATAGGCAAGGGAGTACACAGATTTTGTCCATAGCATGCAACAGGATGGAAAAATCGTTTCAATATGGACAATCTTTAGTAGCAGAGATAGAAAATTACTAAAAAATAAGATATTTTGCCACAACTTTGACAAAATGCAAGACAGACAATGACCACATTGTTTTGTTTTCTCAGCTACTTAAATGTGATTAGAGTTCAACAATTATTTCATTTGACACCAATTAGTGGTTTTCAACCAATCATAGGCCAAGATTCAAATTTATGTGCAGTATATTATGAAACTAGATAATCAGGTTTAACTTTTCTTATTTCATAACAAGAATAAATTGGGCTTAGACGACAGGCATCTAGTTTAAGGTGGCTCCACAGGGATCAGTGGATCAGTACATTATGACAAAGTCAATGCTAGGCTCATAATTTTTGATCTTTTAAAAGCTTTTAGAGCCACCTTCATAGGTACAGCAGTTGAAAGAATATTATTTATCATAATGAGTTTGATTGGCCAGGGGTGAAAAAACAACAGATGGCTTTAGCTATTGTTTGTGCCTATGCTTGAAATTACCTTGCCATATGATTGTGCCCTGTAAGGTAACTGGCGTAGAGTAAGTCTTGCATTGTAAGCTTGAATATGAAATAAGAAAACAGGATTAAAATGACTAATTAATGATAATAATAATAATTATTATTATTTTATTTAAAAATATTAATCTATATATACAATATCTAAATATATTTGCAACAAATAAATAAATAAATATAATAATAATGATAATAATAATAATAATAATAATAATAACAACAACAATAAGAAGAAGAAGAACAATAATAATAAAAATAATAACAATAATAATAATATTTTATATAGCATCAATTCATTATGGTAAATTCAAAGCAATACCACATATGAATAGTCATGTAGGTCAGTTAAAGATATGTTGACTTTTATAAAAATGTTTGAAATATGATGCGCACCCTGATTGGCTGGCTATCATGTTTATATCAGAGGGCAGAGTTATGCTTGCACAAAATCATTTTATAATATTTTATAAAAGTAATATAAAATGCCTGCTCCTGTCTCTGTACTGGGATATAAACACTCTGGGAGCTGTAGAGTACTCTTAAAAAATGCCATAACAAGAAAGAGTACATTGAAATTAGTGAATTTCTGGCATTTCAAGATGGGTTTCATACCTTTTGTGTAGCAAACTCTCAAGCATCTCAAAAATTATAAAGAAATGTATGGTTACTAATAATGTCCCTAATAAACATACAATGTCATTTCTTTGTAAGTTGTGATGTTTTTGATTGCTTAAAATTTAGCTGTTACTTAGCCAATCGAAGCCATACTGCAGAAGTCTGTTAATTTTGATGTGCCTTTTCTCGTCATGGAAATAATTTTTTAATAAGATTAATGAATAAGCAATACCTTCTATATATTATATGTTCTCTACTCACTGGCATATACTATACTCCTTTTTAATTAATAAGCAATACCTTCTATAATTATATTATATGTTCTCTACTCACTGGCATATACTATACTCCTTTTTAATTAATAAGCAATACCTTCTATATATTATATGTTTTCTTCTCACTGGCATATACTATACTCCTTTTTTATAGCTGGTTTGTTGGAAAGATCAAAAGAATTGATGCAGAAAGTCAACTAAGTAATAAAAATGATGGAGCATTTTTAATAAGAGAAAGTGAAAGTGCTCCAGGTATGTGCAATATGTATTCAAGTGTGCTGATCATGTCTGATATTGATATTATTATATATGTATGTATATATATGAGTGTGTGTGTATATGTGTATATATACAGTCAATTCAAAAAACGTTGTCGTCGACCGGCTCAAGCCTACACGACTGGACCGAAAGGAATATGGGTAAAAATCACTGAAGCGGTTTAAATATTCGTTCTGAATAAATTGTTCCCGCTAGTAATAAGATAATAAAGGCAAGAAACAATCCATCAAATGCATGTCTTTGGGGTTAAGGAAACAAAAACAAAGTACTTATGATTCAGTTCACAATTTCGAATATATGAAGGCATTTAAAAAACGTCTCCTTCAACACTTCCCGCTCGCTTACGAAGGTTCGTGCTGTAAACAAGGCATAACTAGTCAGATAAGATTATGGAGTCAACTCGGCTTCAATGATTACTACCCAGAGTTCCTTTCGGTCCAGGCGCGTAGGCTTGAGTTGGTCGACGACAACATTTTTTGAATTGACTGTATATTATTATATATAATTTCGATTGTGATTACAATATTTATTTATATTATAATTTTAGTGAATTAGATTAGATTTATTTTATATCATATATATTGTAATGCGCTGCTGATAATTTTATTGAAGCAGCGCAATATAAGTCAATAAATTATTATTATTATTATTATTATATTGCCAAGCGCCATTTTAAACGCTAGAAGTACCTATGTACATTGTCTAGTTTTGTATTATTGTCATATTGTATCATAATGTAACTTGTAATTCAATAGTGTTTATTTACTTTGTAATTATATCTATTTTATAAAGGACTCTATTTAAACTAGCCTGTGCTAAATTAGATGTTCCTGTTAAAAATATTGAATGAAATAAAAAAAAATAACAACATATAATAGAATTCATGAAATTACCCAACCATGGTCCCAAACAAAAATTAACAAAATTCTGTGTGGCTGTTGACTCGAAAGTTTTAACTCTATCAACAGCCACACACACATCCATTTTTTAGTTAGTTTGAGTTTTGTAAAATGAATATGTGGGTGAATAAATAAACAGGTCTAACAGGTAAATTTTTGTCTTGCAGGGGATTTTTCACTGTCTGTCAAGTAAGTGGTTGTAATTTTAATGATTGTTATTTTGATTTTTGTAATTTTAACGATTGTAATTTTAATGATTAGTTTTAATGATTGTGTTATAACAATTTATTTTGGTTAAGATTTCTAATGGTTTTCAATGTTTTCTGTGTTCATACAAAATTGGTCTATTTGATGGTAACCCAGCAGCTAAACCAAAGATTGGTTGAGGCACTTGATATATGAGTGCACACAGCACAGGCTTCCAAGTTTTTTTTTTTCATTCCTATCCTAAATTTAATGGTCATTCTAATTTTTATTTTGTTTTGTAAAAGAAATTAAAAGTGTGCCAGCTAGCTGTGTGCAGTTATGAAGCACTTGAGAGCCAGTTCATTACATGTCCTGCTTCATGTTGTTAACACTTCTTTTGTGTTCTGCCACTCCCTGTTTGCTCTATTAGAGCACATGACACATACATACATTTTCTATTTTCTTCAATTTTCTCCACCTGTTGTGGGACTAAACTTATTAATTTTTATTATTATTAAGTTTTATGATATTATTTACATGCAAGTCTTTTCTTATAACTATTATAAGCATCTGTTCTTATCAAAAATACTATTATTATTATTAATTTAATTTCTATTATATGATAAAATAGATTCCAAGGCAATGTTCAGCACTTCAAGGTTCTAAGAGACGGAGCCGGCAAGTACTTTTTGTGGGTTGTCAAGTTTAATTCTCTTAATGAGCTTGTGGATTATCATCGTACATCATCTGTCAGTAGATCACAGCAGATATACCTTAGAGATTCTAACAAAGAGGTAAGCTACATTACTGATTATGCTGTTAATGGATGACTTGTGCTAACAGGTTATGTGACCCCACCACATTAAAATGAGCAGCTGTGTCAAAATTAACACCAGAAAGGAAAAGAGAACCTTGATATTAGTAAGAAGACAAAGTTTCAGATCATAATGTTGACTATAGGAGAGGTGACATTAAAATATAAAATCAAATATTTTATAAGGATTTGTGTGTGATAGTGATGATTCATTGATGATGGTGATGATGATGATGATTATTATGATGCATGAAGTTGATGATGCTAAAGAATAATGGTGATGATAATTATGATGGTTATGACTATACAGTCATTACTGATGGTCACGATAATGACCAGTAATGACAATCATGATGATAATGGTGGTAATGATGGTGATGTTAATGATCCTGATGAATTATAATAGTGATGATCATGATGCATGTTGTTTACGATGAGATCGATGATGTTGAATCATGATAATTTCAATCATGTATAAATGATGACAATAATGTTCCATAATCTCATTGTTTTCTATTTACGTCAGCCCGACCAACTACGTGTCACAGCTCTATTTGATTTCGAAGCTCAAGAAGATGGGGAAGTTAGCTTCAAAAAAGGCAGCACTATCGTGGTTTTGGAAAAAACTGATCCCAATTGGTGGAAAGGCAAAGTTACGAGCACTGGTCACACCGGCCTCTTTCCGTCAAACTATGTACAAACCTCTTAATTATCTTACCACACCTTTTACAGAATTCTTATCTGCTTTGATGCCACTAAGAGAATCAAGGCAGAGATATATTTTTTACTACTGAAAAGATTTAATTTACTATCTACAGTATGGTGTGTGTTATGCATAGGAGATCACCAATCTTGAGTACAATTTGGAATTGACAGGTAAAAGTGATGTTTCAAAAGTTTTCCAAAAGGGGATGAGCGTTGAGATGAGTGTAATTTGAGAACRTTCAAAACATCACAAATATCTTTCAATAATATTCTAAGTTGTATGAGAAGATTGTGCTTTTTTTTTTGTTATATTACACTCAAGAAAAATGAGCAACTTAATTGGTTCTCTACAGAGTACAATCTTACGATTTAATTGTACTCCTCTTGTCCAATCAGAATCAAGTAATTTTGTTGAGTGTATTATAGCTAGGTAGATTAACTGGTTTAATTTAGAACTCTATCTGTGTCATTATGAGGATGTGCATATTTGATTTTTTTGAGCCAGCTTAAGTTTTTATTGGTATGTTCCAAGACTGTTCTAGACTGACGAGACTAATGAGATTGGGACTGTCAAAATAGTCTAAGCCAAACTCAAATTATGCCTGTTAGGTCAGTGTCTGTTAAAATTCACCAACAAAGGCAGAAAGCTGTTTATTTTGCAGGGGGGGGGGGGGGGGGACATATGTGGCACTAACTGTGTTTTTTTGATATTGCCACATATTCCCCCCCCCCCCCTTCCCTGCAAAATAAACAGCTTCCTGCCTTTGTTGGTGGATTTTAACAGACATTACTGATTATTATTTTATTCCTATGATTGAACATTTTAGAGTTAGGTTTACACCTCAAAGTTAACAGCAAAGATAAAAAGAAAAATATGAACAAAAAAAACAAAACAACAACAACAACAATATACAGTACCCTGGTACTAACCATTTTTTTACCTCTGAAATCTTCTAAGTTTTTAAAAAAATATTGAAAAAATAAAACTAACATTTGTAGGATTCCAAAATGTTTTAAGACGGAAATTATTTTGAATTTCTTTTTCCAGCTACAAGTTTATTGCTTGGTTATGATTCTTTCCAATAAACATTGGTAGTATATCAGAATAAACTAGAATTCTGGCCATCCCAGGATTCCAAAATAGAAGAACTTAGCGTTTCTGAAAATTTGAATTTAGTGCTTGACATCTTTTGTTATTTTCCATTTTGTCATATAGAGTTTTAACAAATAGATTTAACATTATTTTTGAACCCATTTTAATAGTTTTTATCAAAGTTATTAGAAATTAAAGCAGGCAAGGAATATTATTTAGTGTTTATAACTAGTAAAGCAATATTTTTTAAAAGTTGTAAAAAAATATTTTTTTGCAACAATTCAATAGGAAGGTACTTTTATGTTTTTTTATTGGATGGGAGGCCATCAGTAAAAAATTTGACTTTGTGATGGGTCAAACATTTTTTTACAAAAGCTAGAGGAGGGCTGACTCAATAGGATGGTCTTAAATATCTTACTGAGTGAAAGGAGAAGGGATTCAACCATGCTACAACCATTTWAAAAAAAGTTTACTGCAAATCTTGTAAGCTGGCAAAATGCTTCAGCTAACATTTAAAGATCTGACGCTCAAACTATTTACTATCTGCTGCTCATTGATTTGAAACTGAAAATCGAATAATTTGCTTGGTGTTCATAAATTAGTAGTCTCCTTTAGGTGGTCACTATTAGTGTCGTCATGCAATACTCATGTAGATACTCTAACAGGGGAGTGAGCATTGTATGATGACACTAATTGTTGGTTTTCAACCATTCCCAAGAGAATTAAATAACAAAAGACATGGCAGCCATGTTGGAGGATATAACATTAACAATTCTTTTGATAAGTTCCTCCAACATGGCCGCAATGAAAACCATCAATGCTAACTTATTTCATATGCTTAAAAAAAGTGTTATTTACTCTGTTTTAATGTGCTTGACATATCAGTTGTGCATTGGTATTAGGAGTTAGAGAATTGAATATTTTCATAAATAATTGATATGAATGATTTTTGATGTAGCTTAAAATAATCATAATAGTATAACTTTAGTTTTTTGAATAATAAATAAAGCAAGAAAAAATGGTTTGTCGTGATGAGATTAACCACTGAATCGTAACTCAAAAAGTAGCAGATATAGTGAAATTAAAGATTAGTATTTAGGGGGTGCTAGGAGTGTCGGGCCTTGGAGGGGATGGATATGATTTGTGATCTCCCACCCCACCCCACTATACACCCACAAGCAACACCACAGCGTTTATTATTAAGCAATCTCACAATATAGCATTTTGGATATTATTCAAACTTTTGGTTTAACGAAAAAAAGCTTAATAGTTAAGTTGATAGTAATCTTAACATTTTTTTAATCTTAAACGATTCATTCAAATTTAACATAGTTGCTCAAATTTCAAAATTTTGACTTTGATTTGGTATTTCTAATTCTTTTTAATTATTTAGACAGTTAAAATTTGCCTTTTTAAAGCGATTAATTTTTTGTTAAATTATTTTAAAAGGAGTAATACAAACAAGCAGTCAGCAGTACAAATCTTCTTGTCTACAACTATTGACAGAACTGTAGCACTAAAGCTCAATTTWAAAAATGTTTGCGTGAGAAACTTAAATACAATTACATACTAACCTCGATGGAAGAATTGTGCTTCGTGTACAGCCGAGCTTAGCGTCGTAGCTATTTGATATTCCATGTCTCCCAAGAGGTTTTTTCGACGACTTCTTTGTAAACTAATCTTCGCCATTTTAAAACTCCCTCCCAATGCACTCCAGCAAGGAATCATGGGACAAGGCTTGCAAGGAATGACGTCATTTTACGATATGACGTCATAATAAGTCATGACGGCATAATCACTTTGTATCGGGAAGCGATCCGAATGGTTTCACCCTAATGATTCGGATTTTTCAAGCTTCGGTGCTTGTTTTACTTGTCCTTGATGTAGTGAATGCGTATCCCTTGTCTTCGTATCAAACGTATTTTCGACTCTTTGGGCGGCATCTGCGAAAGGTAAGCGACTTGCGCGACTGTTCTATAAAACCTCGTACGTTTTCGACCGAACTGATATTGTCTGTAAGCTATGGAGATCCAACTTTTACAGAGAGCGCGAGTAAAAAAGTTAAAGAGCTAATTAGTTAGTCGGATTACAATTTATAGCTAAGGAGTCACGCACTATATTTTTGTAATTTTTTGCTTGAGAGAAACATTTTGTGCTTGCTACTGACCGAATGTTCTTTCAGAGGCGGGCAATATCAGATACAATAAAGAGCTGCAGTCATTGGAAGATCAATCACTCAGATGATCCTGATATTACTGACGTGGTTGTTGCTCTACACAATAGCGTAAGTGGTCAAACAGACAAAATATCCTCGGTAAAAAGTGATTTGCTTTTTTGAAATATTTTGTGATTTAACTTAGCCTGTGAAAAAACTTTTTAAAACAGATTAAGGTGTTTCTGCTGCAATTTTTTAATCGAAAAAAAAATCCGAGTTCCAGGGGCGGGATTCGACTAACTCTGAATGTGTAGTTGTTTCTGGGACAAGATTTCAATTCCATCGACACTAGGAAACCTGCTGTAACGCAACGGATGGCTCGCTGATTGTCTGAGGGGAAACCATAAATAGCTGAGTATAGATGGAATACTGTGTCTTGTCCCGAACCATTGGATATATATATACTAATAAACCCGAGATTCCTAACTTTGCGCAAGCTAACATTTTTTGGTGCTCGCTGCATTCAAGGCTTCAAGTGTGAAAAAAATATCAACGGCTCTTCAATGTCAGACCATGATCAAAATAAAAGAACCCAACCTAGGATACAAGATAGAAGCGGTATGTACTATCCTAAATGATAATATGACAATATTGTATTTTAATTATGAAATATTTCAAACTATATATCATTATTTTAAGGCGACTTCTAGCTTCGACGCTCGTAGCCTGTTGAAATTCAACACCTTGTGTGATATTAATACGCGCACTTATTGCTCCACCTAACAATCCAAAAATAATTTTTTTTCATTAGGGAGCGATGAAAGAGGTATTATTTTCCATAGCTGTATCTCCATTGCATTTCCACCACGATTCACGCGTGCGCAGACACACATGTCTGCTATCAACCTGGACTGAAGACGCCAACAGCTACGTCACATGTAAGATTAAAATTCCAGTCTGGCCGAATGGACTGTTCTTCTACAATTGCAGATCCTGTAAGTCATGAGTGTTAACTAAAAAAGCATATAATAGGCATTACGCACGGTACGGCACGGTACCCTTGAAGATTACCGATCACATTGCGCAATATTTGTAATTCAGATCTGGATATTCGCGTTGCATTACAGTGTAAGTACAGACAGTTTAACAGACTTAAACGCAACTTTCTAGCTAAAGAAGAGATTTTGTATCGATGAAAAATTAACGGGCCGAGACATTTTCCCTTATAACTGTGACGGTGCCGACAGAGCTGAACAGGGAGTTTTGCGCACAGTGATTGGTTCAAAGAGCGCGGTCGTCAATGGGCGCCCATGAGAATGCCGTGTCGTACACATTAGTGCGCTACGTCTGTCTCACGATTATCCTAGAAAAAGTTTCGAAAAAAGAAAGGCGCGCGCGCGTGTAGTATCTGACTTGACAGCTTGAAGCGCTCCAAATCAACCCTACATTATGTGCGACTTTCTTCTTAGATGCGATTGGTCAAATGACTGTCACTCAACGTGAAAATGATATGGGAACTCAGATACGTCTACACAATACAGGGCCTGTGAGTACAACCTATTTTTCATAGAATATATACTTAACAAATTGAAATCAGTTTTTTGTGTCTGTCTTCTAATTGACGATAAATTGGGTCATCACATTGTTAAAGTAGTGCGGATCCATTATGTTCGGCTCATGTGAAGTTCGGCGTTTGACCTTAGACTAAAACGTATACGGCTGAAGATTTACTTAAGCAGAAGCCCAAAAACCCAGCCAGACGTCTGGGACTGTGTTGGTCGTGTAATTACAAAATTAACAATAGAGCTTTAAAGGCTTTTATGCAAAAGAAGTATTTAATACATGCGTACACTCTTATTCTTGTTCTAGAAAGCACTTTTCATGGTCAACTCCACCTGCGATCCTACCATCATGACTCTGACCCATACTAACAAATACAAACGCTTGTATGATAGCGAGGAATGGACGCTTAGTTTTCCCGCTTCGTGGTGAGAGCAGTTTCATTTTAGTAAAATCGATTCTAAACAATCAAATACATAGGAAAACAAGCGCTTTTACCAAGGGAGTAGAGTGCACACAATATATCCGTGAACAAGTTAGTGACAAAATTGTACAAATTAGTGCAAAGTTTTGTAGGTCTAGGATCTACTGAGATCTACTGAACTTACTAGTTTGCGCAAATTTGTGCAATTTCTTACGCATTTTTGATATATGTGGTAGGGATCGATTCTACCGCGCGTAAAACTGTTGACATATCCAAATGCGCGCGCACTCAACTTGATCTCATGACATAACAATGACGTAACAATAATAACCTCATGGAATAAATTCTCAGTGACGGGCGAGTTGGAATTAACTACAAAGGAAGCTGTTCTGTCAAGGTGTACCATGTTTGTCTTACAACAACCACTTTTATCGATGAAGTAAAATTTGACTTTGTTGACGGTGAGTAGAAGTGGAAAAAAAGGATTTAATAAGGCTGCTTTACTGCCACATTACTGTTGCCTATTTATTAACTTGATAGATTAACTAGAAGAGTGCACCCAGCCCTAACTGGTTGCTATCGTTACTCGGTTTCTCGCCAAATTTCGCACATGCGCACTGAGTATTGGTTGCCTATTCTTGTAACTCTCTAGGTGAAACGAAAGAGTGCGAGTATCGTAAAAGCCACTACACCACGTACAGTGCTCACTGGTTGCAATCGTTACTCGGTCTCAACGATCTTCTAACCGCGTTGCTTGTTCCTGTGGTATTCCTGCTGATGGTAACCATCATCATTACACTAGTAATAAAGGTAAGACTACTTTTGTTCATAAGAATTCGTTCATTTTCGTTTATTTTGCGTAAGAAATTATAAGAATTCGTTAATTTTATTATGGGTTAAGTTTTAGATCAATTAATTATTAGAACAGCTTTCTTCGTATAAGCATGGGAAACGATACGGTAAACTTTCATAGCCGTACCGTATCTTAATCGCGTAGATAGCCCCTAACTACACTTTGTGACTGGATGTATTACTGAAGAAATTTTGCAAAACCATTTCGATGTACGGCATGTTGTACCGTGTAAATGCTGTAAGTCAGTAACGTATGCTTCCCACTCATACGATAACCATTCTTATGGGAGCGTTACTGGTTTCGAAACTTTAAGCCACAAGTAGATCGATAGCTACTGAACAACGAATGTGTTTGGGTGTGTCAACTAACCGAATAAAAGAAAAACATAGCATCGTTAATTTAGGCTATTTCTGACTTCGATAATCTCATGCTAAACTCGTGTACCCATGCTAGACCACAATACATCATGTTGACTTTCTCAGAAAAGTCTGTGAGAATCGACGGTGTAGTGTGCATATGTTTGTGGGAAGGGGGAGGGGGGGGGAGGGGGGGGAGGGTGTAAGAATTTTTAAGAATTGTTCGTGGTTTCTGTGACAAGACAATAATAATTTTCTCATTTCTTTAACCAGTTTTTCCTGCTCGTACATCAACGTGGCTCACTCAGCGCAGCTAAGAAGGAATTTCGCCAGAGATTTCGTGGTATTTTCCAAGCTCGTCTCGCCAACATTACAAGTTAACACTACCACTAGTGCTCTCTGTACGTAAATCAATACCAAAAAACAAGGTTTGTACGGCAATCGAAATATATCTAATATAAAAGGCTTAAAACCCAGAAACAACATACCAAACTCTTCACAATACTTTAATAACAATTTGTTTTTAAAGTATTTCATTGATAACGCCTAATTGTCAGACTAACCAAGAAATAACATACTAAACTCTCCATAACACATAAATAATATTTTGATTCTTTAAAAAGTCTGTCACTAATGTCTACGAAGTCATAAGACTAGTCACTATAGAGTAGTTTCCGTATTTCTGGGAAAAGCTCAGGCGCAGTGTGATTGGTCTGRCAGTGTCGTGACGTTGGCGTGACGTGTACGCGCCTCGTTTGTGCCGTGTTCCGGGTATTTGATTGGATGGAGAGTGGATTTTCTCGCGCAATGTGATTGGTGTGACGTATGCCTTGACGTGTCACGACCGCGTTCGTGTCGCGAGCTTTTTATAGTGATACGAAAAGTGCTCTAATAACTCAGTTGGCTTTTCACTGTCATTATACTTAAAAAAAGTCGTCAAAATATTTCTAAAAAATTTTTTTTTGTATTTTTAAAATATCAATCCTCAAAGTTTCTCTATACTAATACTTCAATCCAAAAGGATTAATTGTGCCAGAAATCTTGGGAGTAAGAGTTTATACCTTGGAGAAGAATTTGTACCTCCATGTCCCCTGGACGTAACATAAAAAAATATAAGGCCAACAGGACCTGATTTAGCGGGACCCACCACCTCAAGTGTAGCCCTAGATTTTGTCGTTTTAAATATCAATGTATACTCTTTTTCAAGGAGCACTCTTTCTTTGAAAATGTGCAATAATAAAGATTTGTCCTGTTGCTAAAAAAATATTTATAAAATAATACGTCTTTGTATATTACATTATAATAGGAACTGACTTAAATGCAGAGTTGGGAACTAGTTACTTCATTAATTTATTGTTCTTACCCCCGTCTTTTTCTGATTGCAGATGTACCAGCCTAGTAAATCAGTGAAAATCGAATCCGAGAAAAAACTAAATAAAAATCTATTCTTTTGAGATTAAAACATTAGACTGGATGCTTTGGAGACAGACTTGATTGTCTATGGTGATTAAGGTCTGTAAGGTGTGCTTGTCCCGCCGCCATAGGCATCCCACCACGTGCAATTTACCACTGCGCACGTCTTCCTTTCCATAAATGGAAGGATAAGACCTTTACATAAATCAATAAACTTTAGACAGGATGCTTTCTAAAGACAGACTTGATTGTCATGGAGATTGAGGTGTGCTTGTCCCTCCACCACAGGCATCCCACCACGTCCAAATTATCACTGCACACGTCTTCCTTTCCATAGTTGGACTGATTAAACCTTTATAGAAAACTTTCTAAACACGGACTTTGAGGTATTCCAGTCTATTTGTCATGGCAACCGAGCTTCGCTTGTCTTTCCACCACAGGGATCCCATCATATCCAAAATATCACTAACCTTCTTATCGGCAATGAATCTGACATAGTCAATATTAGTGAATTTTTCACCTCGTCCACAAAAGATCTGGAGATAGTACAAAAATAGTTCAAGATTCCATTCGGGGTTCACATCTACAGCACATGGCTCGATAGCTTCACCAAAGAGCATGATGGGAATTGTTGGACCTGTAACTTCAAAGACTTCCACGAAACATCCCGAACAAAACCCGAGGGATTTTAATGACTTTAGATAAATTGGCCTCTCTTTGTACAGGCGTTTGATCGGGACACATGAACCACGGGCTGGGAAATTTCGCCTTTTGTTCGTAATTAGATTTTTAACCTTTTCTTCGTCTGTCTGAGACTTGATGACTTTGCCTGCATGCAGCAAGAAGCTTTCTTGGTTTGGGTGCTTAAATGACAGTAGAGTTGACTGCCTGAGTCGAAAGGTTTGTCGTATAGCCCGGTCTAGGACACTTAGGCTGTCAGTCAGGGAGATTGGGATTTCTTTGACTCCTTTTCCCATTAAGGATACCACAAGCACCTTAAAACAGGATGTCTTCATTAGTTGCAAGCTGGTGTAACAAATGTATGCAATACTGCACRCATAGATTTTGCTTCAGAACATGTATAGCATGCATGCCACTATGGGCTTGCATGATATATAACTGCATCATAATATTGCATGGATATGATGCAGCATGTTGTGCTGAAAACCCTGTTCAGAATTGAAATACTCTATGCAGTTCTGCAACATTGTAAAGTGGTGTTGCCATTTCTATATTCAGTAATGTGCATGCATTTTTAATCAATGGAGGGCAACATGAACAACGAAATACAATATACAGCACAAAGGGGTACTGTACATGTCTTCTGTAATTTTCAAACATGCCATACACTGACAATGTTGCTTAGGACTTACCTCTTTCCTCAAGATCTCAAACTTAGTAGGTCCAATTTTAGTCAACACAAATTTCTTATTTCCATCGCTTGAATCTGATGTCGGTAGTGTACACATATCATTTGGATTGATGACACAATCAATGACATCATCTTCTGACAATACATCTTGGTTATCAAGAGGTAAGAATCTTCGAAACAAGCTGATTCGTACTTGACTGTCAAGCTTTAAAATGTACCTAATTAGCCAGAGAAATTCCTCAATCACCATACCTCTCTTAGCAGTGATCATGGTTTTTTGAGGCCACTTTTCACATGACGGCCAAACATTAAGCTGAACTGATATTTGTGATTCTGCACTAAAGTGTATCAGGAATTCTCTTGGTAAATACTGTGGTAATAATTCTGGCAATCTTTTGATGTGAACGAGTGCTGATCGAAGACAGTGTATCAACAATGAAGCTGGTTGAAAAACTCTATAAGATGAGATAAATTCTCTGTATTAGATACATCTACATGTGTAGTTTTTTTTTTTGCAATTGGGTTTTCTGTGGTATGAAGGCAAAAGCCACCATTTTTTGTCCCCTCTGAAACTGAAGGAAAGCCAAACCACACCCACCCACCCAAAAAGAGAGGACCGAAAGTTTGACTTCTCAGACCCGAAAACGCCAAACCAAAAAAAAAAGAAAAGAAAAGAAACAGCAATAAGAGAGGAGCAAAGGTATGATAAATCAGAAAAATTAAAAACCAGTTACAGCCTGATTATTTCATTATTTAACACTCCTTTCCTACGAGGAGGGTGGGCGGAGTCCTCGAGGCCTTAATAATGTACACAGTGGTGCTTGGGACATCTCATACCGTTTGACATAAGACAATAATAAAAATTCATCCAGACAATAAAAACCCACTGATAAATATAGTGATCTTTCATCTGGGATGCTTGGAAAACTTAGTTACAATCATGCTATTTTGTTTTTAAAAAGGAATCAATTTTGGGTTTGAAAAATCGTTCGTCTATTGAGTTGAAAGACCATTCAAGGCGAGTCACCAGGTAAGATMATTTAGAAGCCAATATCAGTTTTCTATTCAGACTAATCTTCATAATTCCTTTGTAGATTCTTGAAAAATTATTCTAATTATAAGCAAGGCCACTGGACTTTACCATTTGAAATTGTCCATTTAAGGTTATAAAATACATCAATGTATTTAAGCTGTCAACGAATCATTGATGCGAAATATATATTTTTACTCCATTCCATGTCATTCAATATTTATGACCGACCCTTTGTGTTCATGGCAGACATCACATCTCGCACTGAATTTTATGTGTCTAAAATCTTCAAATAAAGTTCAAAAAATTCCCCAAAAATACCACCAACATTCCTAAACATGTTCTAAGTAATCTTTTAGTAGGATAAATTGCTTTTATTTTTGTGTCTTACCGTGCCTTGATCGAGCAGAGGTCGGTTTGAATGGTCGGTGAATGAATCAAGGCGATGGCAAATCTTAGAAAGCAATCGGGGGAAGTCCCCGGTTTAAGCGGCATTACATCAGCATTTTCCTTGCCATTAATAACAAACTTGATGCCATCCCAGTCATACTGTATTTTGATTTGCTGTCCACTGTACGATCCCCAAACTGGGACAATATTTAGGGTTAAAACATCGTAGGGTATCAAGTACTGACTGTAGTCGTTCTTGTAGTTATTGTCGACAAAATCCGAAGGATCTTGAATGTATTTATACTTGGGCGAAGAACTCTTCGAAAAATATGCTTTTCCTGTTGTACATGATAGCTTTGATTTTTGGTCTTTTTCGGGCATTTCTGTTTTTTTTAGAGGTGAAATTCCCGTTCGACACCGTTTTCGTTTTAAGTCGGCCAAAGATGCAAATGTCTACCACAGGGAGACCAATCAAAGAATAAAGTAAAATAAAGTAAAATAAAGTAAAGTAAAATTAAAATTAAACAGAATTATAAAAGATAAGCTTTCTTTGGATTTTGATAGCGTTTTAAACAGATATAAACAAGAAAAATAAAATGATAAAAAATAATATGATATCCAAGGTAATTAGAGCAACTAATGATGACATGGGTTGACTGTGGTGATTTGCAGAATGATATTTTTTCGGATAGAACATGGGCCGTCAGCCCTGGAGACGTGCCGTAATTTTAACAAATTTCCGATCGTTTTGCGTGATATGTTTTCTTATTTACCACCACACATGACTTCAACAGTTGGTCGTGCAGTATGTACTCGCGAGACGTAGCCGAGTGGGTACATAACTAATTTTGGCCAAAAAAATGGAAAAAAAGCAAAAAAAGTATCATTGAGACGTCCCAGCCTCTGATAAGCCCGCAGGCCAAAAGCCCTGAAAAAAGAATAAGCCCCTAAAGGCCTCAATAGCGGAAATACGGTATCTTTTATCGACCAATCTATAGACGGTGGGGGCTATAGAGGCTTTGCACCAACACCTGATGTCGATTGATATTAACAGCTCACCACAATAGTACAACGTGAATGAAGATGAATTAAGACATCGGCAAATCGATCACTGTACCCCTAAAAGAAACTGGACAAACACACAAAATTCTATTTACTTTCCGCCATCTTTAATCATTATTATCTTTTTTCCCTGCGGCAAGGTGGCCGCCCTATACAGTTAAATGAGTTAATTACTCTGCAGTTGAATTGATAGCTCTGATATGTCTGGTTTTCGAACATTAATTAACTGGCGTTTATCCTACAACATACGGTATTTGGTAGCTATACAAATTTATTTCTTTTCTTAATAGTTCTAAAAGTAAAATCAAATTTCCGCGCACGGTTTTCGTAGCGTTGTTACCGTTTTGTCCCCCTCCCACGACAATGATTCTTAGCGTTAAAACAAAAGATCGATTGTTCTCATATGATGTCATAAAGAAATAAGGCAAATTAAGTTTCAAATAGTACCATCAATTATAGAGAAAGATAAAACTACTGATACACGGTGCAACATGTTGTATGCAATTGATGTTGCGAGTTATGACACAGGACGCAATTTATTGCACGCAGCGTTACTGAAGTAGAAAACTATCCTACTTCAGCAACATTGCCTGCAATGTTGTGCGCAATGTTGCACCGTGTGTCTGCGCCTTCAGTGTTTGACCATTCGTCACCATGCGTTTGGAGCAAATAATGAGATTCGAGAACAGGTAAAGAGATTCAAGGACTTCTATCGGCTGATTGAAATCTAGTAATAACAGATCGTCATGTTTGATAATATTTATTTTTCCAGTTGTATTGATTTATCACTAAACATCCAAACTCACTTCAGTTTTTCCTGTCCTTTGTTGTAGTTAAAACTCCTTTTCAACGAGTCTTACATTTTGTTTATTTTCTGCGCAGAAATGTAATATAAAAGTTTGTTCTTGTTGAATTTAAAGCAATCTCGAAGTTTATTCAAATGAAACGAAAAGACGCGCGCCCAGAACAGCTGTTGGACATCACACCAAATGTCGAAATGATAAATCATTTGCACTAAAAAACGTCGCAAAACTACTCGATAAAAACAAAATACATTCGAGATTTCATCAATTTTGTCTTTTTATTAGCACCCCAAGTTGCCATTTGTCTAGAAAAGAGTATATTCTTTATGTTTTGTTGTCATTAGGAGTTTGTCGGATGCAATCTCATAAATGCGAAGCTATTAAATTAGTATGATTTCAGCTGTGGAAGCTAAATGACATATATTATCATTAAAACGCTAGATCTGAGAATAGATAACTACAACGAGTGTCGTGTGCCGGGTAGGGATTTAAGTTCTAATTGGGCTTCACTCGGGCAAAGTATGAAGCGGCAAATGGCGCCTCCTTCACCAACATTAGCTGCAGAAGAAACTGTATCTCTTTCTGTGATCATTTTTCTCGTCATGATTTCCAGCATTCTAGGAAACCTTATAATAATACTAGTCATCGTAAAAGTCAAGAGGCTTCTTTCATCATTTGCGAACAAGTTAGTCCTCAGTCTCGCTGTTTCCGACTTAACAACAGCTTGTTTTCCAGTCAACTACCAGCTTGCAATAGCCTTGAACATAACTCTTATCAGCAATGAAGGAGTCTTGTGTACAATAGGGGGATTGGCCTCGTACGCGATATTTCTTACCTCGATACTGACCAAGGTCATGTTGAGTATTGATCGTTTCATTGCGCTTGGTCACCCTCTGAAGTACAACCTTCGTATCAAGTCTAGCCTGAAAGCCTTCATGGTCGTCTATCCATGGATTCATGGAATACTCTTTGGTGTCTTCTGTGGAATTCTCATAGACATCAAGTTTGATCCCGCGAGTAGGGATTGTGGATTGGTATGGAGAGAGCGACATCTTGGGTTTACACTATCGGTATTAATTGCGCATTTTGTTCTTCCGTTTGGGATGTTGGTCGTGATGAATACAATGACTTTGAGACTTGTTCGCAGTCAAAATCGAGTGCTGGTTAGACAGGAGAGTAGTACGCGCGACATTGGGACAACAATAGCAGGAATAGACCGCTTGAGTAGGCGGCGAGGTAAGAGCTGTTAACGTTCCTAGTTTTAAATCCCTTACTCTAGAAGCAAGCACAGGAAAGGTCGTTCAGTCTATCTCCTTGTTCATATCGAATCAAATAAACTCGAGAAAGAAAATAAAAGCAGGTTGTTCATGCATGAAAAACGAAATTAAACGAAGACGGAAATTTAATCATCAAAAGTTGGACTCTATAATCATGCATGATAGAAGTTCTTTGGAAACTCTCAATCAAAGTCTCCGCTCTTCATTCTATCTTATTACTCTCCATTAACTTTTCGAATTAAGTTTTCTTAGAACTCAATATCTCTGTCTTAGATACTTATGTATACTCCTACGKTAGCTTACTCTATATACCTAGGGCCCGATTGTACGAAGCCGTGAGGATAGCGCTATCCGACGTATAAATCCTTATGTATCGGTCGGATAGCGCTATCCACCCTTCGTACTAGGCCTAGGAGACTAACTAGTAGATTCACGAACTCTCTAAGATAAAATAATAAACTGCGCGTTTCGATTCAAGTGAACTGCATTTTGACCATTTTATTTGTAGTGACGAGGCCTATATAGAGAAATTGATTATCTGTAGCTAGAGAAAGTACTGATGCACTATGAAACCAAATATTATATACATATATTTGTTTGACCATTGAACGGTTTGTCACTTAGTTATGGCTTTTTAATTAAGTGCTATTCATCATGCGTTTCATTAGTTTGAACGTTCAACGACCAAGGGCAGTGTATTCAGCTGGGAAAATATGACAATAGATTAATTRAAAAAAAGCTAGCGCCCGACTCTGACTTAACGCTCGTATTGAATTGTCATATGAAAAAAGGGCGAAGGCATTTCATAATGCAAAAAGAAAAAAAGAAAAAAGAGATCAGTTTTAGTTGAAAGCAAACGTGGGTGGATGAAATAGAGCCAATACGTTCAAAAACTTAAACCGTGTTATAAGCTGGTGTTAATAGTACGATTGTAGTTGTCACCATTTGGACTTGAAAAAACCTCCTTTGTTTACCTAGTAGGATATTAAAAAGTTCCAGATATTATTAGACGGATGGATGAATGGATGGATGAATGAGCTCGAAAGATTAATGAAAAAAAAAAAAAAAAAAAAAAAAAAAAAAAAAAAAAAAGGCAGATGAACTGAGAAAGAGAAAGTAAGAAAATTATGTACTTAAGGAGGCTGTACACGTAACCAAACTGATAAGTTGCCTTTTTTCCATTTTCAGCTGGTAGTGAGACGAAACTAGCCAAGATGTCCATGGCCATAGTACTGGCATTTCTACTTAGCTGGACTCCATATATAATAACTCGAGCGCTGTCTATCTATTGCTGCCATGTTCCTTCCATCGTGTTAAGGGGAGCTGTCATAACGGCTGATTTGACCTCCCTAATAAACCCAATCATCTACTCGTCTTTGAGGTCCGATTTACGCCAGTCTATACGAGATCTTTTTCGCAGACACAATGTAATGCAAGTGCACYCAGTATTAAGGCAAGTTAGTGATCAGAAACAAACTAGTCAGATATCTGAATGCTAAAGATTCGACCTCGTTCTATATATGGTCCAATTAACACCTGTTCTAAAGCAGCCCGAGAGCCTTTATGCTTCTTTGATTTTTTCTTCATTTCAGTTTCATTTCAGTGTCCCCAATTAGTTGCATAAACTAAATCCATCGACACTTAAATAAAGTTATTTATTTTCTTTTCTTTTAAGCCATGTTTAGCGGCGTAATGGGACGCAACCCAATACTAGAAGAAAAACTATAGAACTAATTGTAGAGATTTTTGTTTTATTTAAAAATAACCACCTTGTGTAGAAATATTTACAAGGATAAAACTCATTGTCGCAGCATGACATGGAAAACTCTTATAAATGTTGTATTATACACACTCTTGRAGTAGATAAATTTGTAATGAATGTTAATAAATAATGTAAATACATAACGCACGTATACTAACAATACCACACGAGTAATGACCAAAACAATAGAAAAACCGAGTTGACATTACAGCAAGAAAAAAAAAAGTTTAAAAAATTGTCAAATAGTCAAAGTGTTTTTTCTCAAATGAATGTGTGGCTYGAAGACAATTTTTTGATGTTCGTTAAGCTTAAATCCTGCATTTGCTAGGATAGGTATTATACCCTTGCAGTAGAAAAAAAGCGAGTGCAAAAAAACCCTGATCTGATGGAAGCTTTTAGTTAGCTTGGTTTTTCGCAGAAAAATTAAAGAACCTTTATGAAAAGAAATCAAAATGAGTAAAGGTTTTGAAGAACAAACTAACGAGAAATAACACTGTTTTTAACACCAAATCAAACGAAATACAAAAGATATTTCGTAAACTTCATRAGTTCTCGAAATGTACTAAGGAAAAAACACCATCATACGAAAATAGGGAAAAAATTGTGTCAAAAAAGCACGACTTCTATGGTTATTGTTGGAAAAGGCTTATGCACTAAGGAGAAGTGCAACTCCAGCGAGGGTCCACTTGGCAGGATTCTCTTTGGTTTTTAAGAAGAAGTTCCATACATAAGTGGGACCTCTCTGTCTGGTCTTATAAACAGGGCATTCATAGACGTTCTTGGTTTCTTGTTTGTCTACTGGGATTGCCCTGATGAACATGACTGGCATGGATGGGGTAAGGTCTTTCAGTTTGGAGTCAGCTATCATTCCTGTCTGTGTATCCCAGCGAGCACCTTCCATGAACAATCCATGGACGTAGGCTCCTTCACGGGGTGGGCTGTTAAAGTCTTCTTTGTTCTTCTTGGTGACATCCACTTGTAAAGCCATTTTATCAAGAGGCCATTCRTTCTTACGAGCCATGGACTGCTCGATAGCTGTGAGAAATGACTGAGGATTGAAAAACCCAGACAGCCATACTACATTTGGAAGACAGAAGTCAGACGTCCAGCTTTCTAGCTCCTTGATACGCAGAAGTAAATCAGCAAACCAAGCGGCAAGGCCAGCCATTGATGGGTAAGCACGCTTGGTCCATGATTCCGGTACGGTATCCAAGTAAAGAGAGTTCGAAAGCTCTTCCATGTCTGACGTAATAGTCAACTCACCCTAGGCGAATAAGATAATGGTATCAATTATACAATTATTACTATTTAGTGATAGTAAAAAATGGGGATTGACGTTTGGCATTATGGAATACGACAACGATGGGGGGTTGTTTTTTTTGCTACAAAGGGCCAAACCCACAACACGAAACACTAAGTACCTTGAGACCAAGATCAAGCATCTTGAGAGAAGTTTTCATCTCAGATGTTAGCATATTCATTCGTTCGCATTCTTGGAATGCCACAACGGTGTACGGGCTTCGATCTTCTACTCTGGCCATCATTTCAGGCACGTTAAACTCTTCAGGGAGTTTTTCCATGATCTCGTCAAGGACTTGTTTAACCTGATGAAAAAGTCAAAAACCATGAATATATCATATATTTGGTTGCACTAGCTCTTGCACTAGGCGACGGTCCTTCCATTAAATCCCGCCCCTCAGTAACTTGTACATGTACTCAAAATTTTGTAATCGTCTCTATTCAGTTGTCATTCAATTTTTTCATGAACAAATATCGAGGGGCGCCAAGAGTCGCGCCCTTTCCCGTACCCCTCTTTCTTGTGAGTTTATGACCAGTTATTCATAAAGAAATATTTGTTCGAAAGTTTGCTAGAGCTTTTTAGGGTTGTTACAGGGGCGGATCCAGGAATTTGTTCAGGGAGGGGAGCACTGCACAAAGTTAACCCAGGGAGGGGTGCACCCCTTATAATCAAAGGGAAAAAACATTATTTTGCATTGGTTATCTTCGAAGTAGGGGAAAAGAGTTGAACCAGGGAGGGGTGCGCACCCCCTGCACCCCTCCCTTGGATCCGCCACTGTGTTACCTTTTCTTCTCTTGTCTGTCCTCCACCTCCTTCAGCACCACTCTCTCGAGGCTGCATCTCCAGTAGTGTACGGAACAGGTTGTCTGACGTGGTAGTCAAGAAGCCGATCTCAGCATTAGGATGCAGGCCATAAAGATAAGGACTCTCGGGTGGTAAGGTGTCGTCTATGTACGTATGATAGCCCTTGAAGTCTGAATTGGGAGGCAGTGGAAATCCTGGGGCAAGAGACAACTCGCCCTCAAGCTGAAAGAAAATGGTACGTCAGTGCTGTGCTTCGAAAGTACGATTCTTATTGCAAATAACATAAAGACAGACAGACAGACAGACTCGTAGACGTCACCCACTGCCTTACCATTTCAGGTTTCATGTACTCCTCCAGGTATGTCTTACACAAACGTCTGTCCCAGTCATCAGTGATATGTCCACCATACATGATCTCTCCAAACAGGTAACGGAGATCAGTCCATGGCACCTAGTGAGGTAACAATGACACATATTAATAAGATTTAATAGCACATTCATAAAGGATAAGAGGTATGTAGATCAAATGGAGCTGGAATGTCTTTTTTCTTTCCTTCCTTCCCTATCTGCTCTGTTTCTTTTATTTMTTTCTTTCCTTCCTTTCTTCCTCTTTCCCTCTCATTTTCTCTCATGTCAAATATAGGTTAACAATATGCAGCTCAAACTTTCCGTTGTCTGTCTATAATTACAGTCTCGTAGGACTTTTATTTATTTATTTTTTGTTGTAAAAATATATCTTCTCTGATACATGTACAGTAACTAAAGATACTGAGAAGGGACAAAGGCCCATGCTTTACCTTTGCATTAGCTTCCAGGTAATTATACAACACATTGACACTGATAGTCAAGTCTCCAGTGTTGAAGGGATATGAACGGTTCCAGCCTTGAGGACCAAACTTTCGTCTTTCTGCCACCACTGCATGGAAGTAACACAGGGCAAATAGAATGCTCTTGAACTCATTCTCACGTGCACACATCTCTAACGTATCCTGCGAGAAGTAAGAAACATAAAAAGTGATTTAAAGAATACGGAATCTGAATAGCAAGCGAAAGAAAGCTATAGCAACTAGTGCGTTTTAACTATGGTTGCCCTAACTTTTTTTTAAGGTTCCTAAGAACGATTTTTTTCATTATTGCAAAAGGATGTAAATAAAGGATGTAACTACTATACTGCCCGTCATGTGCTATCAACAAAGAGTTTACAATCTCTATTCACCTGATTAAAGTTGTTGAGTGACTTGTGCAAGTTAGCCATCATTCCAGTCGGTGGTTCATTGGTAATTTTGATGGATGATTCCAGAATACCCTGCGGGATGCAGTGTGCTTCTGGAGTACCTGCAGGCTCAGCTGAGATGTACACACGGTAATCTTCATGGCTTCCCTCGCTGTAAGCTTCTAGTTGTTTCTCGAGTTTTGGTAGCCAGTTCTTCACCAGATGCACATTCTATTGAAGCAAAATAATTGGGATTTTAAAGTAAAATGACAAGACAGGAAAACTCTCTATATAGGATGTGACCTTGCTTCTTTCGATGTGGCAGGACTGTTTGAACACTGTTCACAGCAAACTTCCAATGCGTAAACTTCAAACCGCGCAATAATTACCAAAACGTCGCCCAATTTCTGCTTATCCATTCAGAATAAACCTCTTAACCTTGGGTATGATCGCCCCCTCAACACATCATTGCCGACCATGTGTCATTCTCTTGAGAATAAGATCCTTTGTTTGAGTTGTAACTATATTCATGTGTCTTCTCATGTGCAACCGTTAAACAAAGAGATGATACTGTAGGGAATAACAAGCGGTCTGAAATGGGAAGACATTACACCCAAGGTAAAGAGGTCCCATGATCCTAGTGAATATTGGATGAGGCATTTTTTTTATACGTGTATGACATCATGATAACTGTCTAACCTGTAAGATGACCCAATGGCCTTCCTTGGATGCTAAAGTTAGACATTGCTCAGCAACGATTTCTTGACCCTGAAATAATAATAAAAGAAAAAGTTAATAAAAATTACCATAAGATTTAGAAACAACAGTCAATACTTTTATTTGTTTGTGTAAACGGAGCGGAACCTTTTATCTTAGTCTTAAAATCCTAGTATAGACGATGACGGTAATTATAAATGATAAGATTTTGATGATATGGTTAATGATGATAAAAATGATGACGGTGATACGATGACGTAGATGAGCTTGGCGTTGGTGCTTGGGTGGGAGGAGCCTCGGGAACTCGGCGGAGGTCAGCGGTTACTATGGCAACCCTATCACCTCCAAATGATTCTCCAAGGTGCTTGGAGAGGAGGAACAGGAAGAAGGGCCTCCCACCACAATGATCCAAGCACCAACCCAAACTAAGGTC